TGGCTCCATGTGGCTTGTCAACAGGAAGGTGAAGCAGAGAGAGTGTGTGTCCCACCTCAAGGGTGGAAGCCAGGAGTTCCCAGAACCCTCAGGAGAAGGCCATGCCCACACAGAGGCCTCATTGGCTATGACCTGATTGACAGGCTAGACTCCACCCCTTCGCTCAAGTGGACAGGCAGTTATGTAACTGCCACACCCTCCGCTGCACCCCCACCTCAGACCCACTGACCACTTGCTACCCAGCACTTGGTAGCTGCACCCTGAAACCTCTCTGGTTCTACCTGTGGTCTCTAGCCGCTCACCTTGCAGGTCCTGCCCCCCACCCCCAGCTCCTCCTCCTCTACATGGTTTGGGCAGGGGGTGGGGGGGCACATGTCTCAGGCCCTCGGCTCCAGGGGGTGCTCAGCGCTGGCCTGAGAGGATGGCAGCAGCACAAGGTGAGCTGCGCCCGGGGTTCCACAGGCCTGGAACCCCACGGGGTGCCAACCAGGCCCTGACCTTGTTTCCTGGCAAACAAGGGAATTCGCCCACCTGGCCAAGACCCCCCAGTGAGGCAGAAATTCTTGTTTTGAGCCAAACATGGACACAGCTGCCAACTAGGTCATCAGAGCATCCGGCTCCTCCAGCTCCCGGCAGGGTCCAGCCAGAGAGGAGGCCTGGCCGTCCCCCATGTCATGGACAGCCAGAGGAGCCAGGGCAGAGGCCAACTCCGCCTAGGAGCTGTCATGGCACTCCTCAGGGCCCGGCCAGAGCCAGCGGGCCACGCCAGGCGGACAGGCACACATGACACACCAGCTCCACCACCTCTCGGCCTTCTCTGTGCTGGCCACGTGCATGGGGCCTGGGCTCCGTGGTCTCCTTTCTGTGCCCTGACCTGTCCAAGGAGGCTCACGAGGCCCTTCCAGGCTGATTTCCCGCTGCCCTCTCTGCACCCCCACCCCCCCACCCAGTGTCAGAGCTGGCAGTTATGAAGTGACCCGTTGGCCCTGCGCTGAGCATCTGACGGGCATCCAACCACCACGGGAAATGTATCGTCCTAATGATGGAGAAGCCGAGCCCAGCTAGAAAGTGCCAGAGCTGAGACTTGAACCCAGGTTTACCCAACTCCAGAGCTGCGCATCTCCCGTGCTGGTTTGCCTCCTCCTGACCTCCTCCCACACACAAAAAACCACGTGGCATCTCCTCTCCCGTCCACTCCAACTCACCAGTCAAAGCTCTCTCGACAACCCCTGCTTGCATCACCTCCTCCAGGCTGGCTGCCCACAGCCCCGGGTACCCCCACCCCAGCCACAGCATGGGGTTCTCTGTGTGGTCTGCCACCAGGCCAGGCACGCCTGTGTTCCCAGCGTCTGGGGCTCAGGAAGGTTTTCTGAATGAAAGGCCTCTGCCCTCCAGGACATGGGGGCCTGTGAGCATGAAATCACGCAGAGGAGTGTGGGAGCTGGATGGGTGCGGGGCATCAGCTTCTGTGGGCAGCCTTGGCCAGCAGGGAAACAAGAAAAGAGCCCTCTCTCACCAACCCCCCATTTCCCGCCAGTTTCCTGCTGGGGCCTTGTCGTAGCTGCTTATCTTTCTCTTCCCAGCCTGGGTCTTTTCCTTTCCCTCCCTCAGTCACCCCCTCCTTGTGCCTCCCCATCTCCTGGAAACAGTTGGGGCTGTGGTGAGTGCAGGGTGGAGAGGTGGGGGCAGGGACGGGGCTGTTTATAGGCGCTGGAGAGGCTCCATCCATCACTGTTTGGAGCTGGAGACCAAACATAATAAATACCCTGGCTCCTCCCCAGCTGTGCTTTCCCTGAACTTAACCTTCCCAACTCCAAATCTCTCTGGCCTGCTGGTTCTCAGGACCTTGCTCCCACCCCACCTGACCCTGCCCTAGAAAGAGCCTTGCCCCTGGGGCCAGCCAAGCCCGGCGGGGTCCAGACTTAGCTACTGCTTTGCTGTGCGAGCAAGGCCAAGTCTCGCCAGATGCCTCTGCCTCCATTTCTCTATCC